CAAAGTGCTGTCGTTTGCCTGATGTTAAAAATGCATATGTGCCTGTTTAACGCACTTTGGGGTCGAAATTGGACCCCAAAGAGTGTCACGAACTCTGGGATCGGACCCCAAAGTACGTAAAAACGTGTTTGACCCCAAAGTGCGGTGTTACAGTGCTCAGTGAATAATGATCATGTAGTGAGTCTTTGTTAGTGATCATTGATTTTGAAGCTTGTAGTGCTCAGTGAATAATGATCATGTAGTGAGTCTTTCTCAGTGATAATTGATCTTGAAGCGTATAGTGTTCAGTGAATAATGCTCATGGGGTGAGTATTGCTCAATGATTATTGATTTTGAAGCGTGTAGACCTCAGTGAATAATGCTCCCGCGGTGAGTATTTCTCAGTGATTATTGATCTTGAAGCTTGAAGTGTTCAGTGATTAATGATCATGTAGTGAGTCTTTGTCAGTGATTATTGGTCCTGAAAAGAGTAGTGCTCAGTGAATAATGATCATAAGTGAGTCTTTCTCAGTGATCTTGAAGCGTGTAGTGTTCAGTGAATAATGATCATTAGTGAGTATTGCTCAGTGATCATTGATCTTGAAGCGTGTAGTGTTCATTGAATTATGATCATTAGTGAGTCTTTGTCGGTGATTATTGATCTTGAAACTTGAAGTGTTCAGTGAATAATGATCATGTAGTGAGTATTGCTCAGTGATCATTGATCTTGAAGCGTGTAGAGCTCAGTGAATAATGATCAGGTAGTGAGTCTTTTTTTCAGTGATTATTAATCTTGAAGCGCGTAGAGCTCAGTGAATAATGATCATGTAATGAGTCTTTTTCAGTGATTACTGATCTTGAAGCGTGTAGTGTTCAGTGAATAATGCTCATGCGGTGAGTCTTTTTCAGTGATTATTGATCTTGAAGCTTGAAGTGCTCAGTGAATAATGCTCATGTAGTGAGTCTTTCTCAGTGATTATTGATTTTGAAGCGAGTAGTGCATTGTGATAACTTAACTTAAAATAAGGCTAAGTTATCCCTAATCAGCAAAAAAATAAAACAAAACCTTATTAGACTTTTGATACTCTGAATAATGAATCTAAACAATCGTATTTGGAGAATATTAACTAAAATTTAAAACTCCAAATTAGGAGAATAAAAGTCTAATAACGCCTTGTGTTCCTAATTAGAAGTAAAATAAGTAGGAAAATTAAATAAAATTAATTTTTAATTAATGAAGTACACTGTTTAAAAACCAATTGGAGATACAAAGTTGAAATTAGGTATTTCAATTTAGCTCCTTATTATGACTTACAAAGTCATTTTAAGATTTTATTTCTAAATTAGTATATGAAAATTTTAACTATAATTTTATTTCTGCTAATTAGGCTTTAAAATCTCCTTATTGACAGTAACAAAGTCGTAATAAGGCTTATAAGTTCTAATAAGGAGTTAAAAGAGGAGTAAGAATGTTTTAATTGCGTTTTTATTATTCCTTTTTATGAGTACAAAGTCCTTATTAGACTTTTATAATTTCTAATCAAAAGTGAAAAGTCCTTATTAGGCTTTAAAATCTAAATTTTCGACCGTGCGACCACATACACGCATCGAGGACATGTTGAAAGAAAAGTGACCGTGCGACCACATACACGCATCGAGAAAAGTGACCGTGCGACAACATACATGTACACGCATCACAGGATTCCCCTTCTCCTACAAGAAAGGGACATATAATTTCAAAGCAGTGTGCCAAGTCCATTAATTATATGTAATTTTATATTACATGAAAATGTAAAGAATAACCCTATGTCTATAATTGTCCATGAACTCAACACTGAATGACATAATAGATAAGACTTACTAACATACATAGGATATTAAATGTTCACTTGATAATTGCCCTATTTATAGTGATCTTCTGTCAGAATGTTAGCCACTTTCGACATTTTGGGATATTTCGTATCGAAACTACATCCAAAATGATGAGAAAAATGTTCTACGTGGCATAGCATTCTTTGATTTTTGAAAAAACGATATTTATTAAAGCTTTATGTCTGTACGAAATTAAATTACATTTTTTACGAAACCCATTTGGAAAATACAAAATATTATTACATTCTTTTTATGAAAAATGTGTCACGGATGTCACTTTAGGAGCACCGTAGTTTGTGTTTGATGCGCTAGATTTTTCTTTTCATTTCATTTTTTTCTTCTGTTCTTTTTGTAGGACGACTGTAGAAACAAGTTAAAACATGGAACACAAACCAATAGATAAGAAGTGTTCTGTTTAAGTAAAGCAAAAACAAAATAAGCCGCGTCATGACAAAACCAACATAATGGGTTTGCGACCAGCATGGATCCAGACCAGCCTGCGCATCCGCGCAGTCTGATCAGGGCTATCAGTTTCTCTACTTGTTATAGAGTTTGTAAGCGAACAGCATGGATCCTGATCAGACTGCGCAGATGCGCAGGCTGGTCTTGATCCATGCTGGTAGCAAACCCATTATGTTGGTTTTGTCATGACGCGGCTCAAATCCGCGTCGTTTATATAGGTCCCTACTTACAGACATCGGGCAAACGTCATTATTAATAGGTTAAGGTATGCTCCGGATAATGGTGCTTTTAACGAAAATTCATCAGTTTTAATACAGACAGAACAAATCGCCACAAAGACTTACGCCTATGCATGGTGGACATCTGGCGGCTATGAGAGAGCATTATATATTACCTTTAATCAGACCACCTAAGCTATTGGCCAATCCGTAAAAGAAATTAATCAAAAGGTAGATAAGTGTGGGGTCTACAAAGGAGTGATTTTTTTTCAAGAACATTAGATATATATACAAACAGGCAAACTCCCGTGACATGCGAGCATCTTGGGGGGGGGGGGCATGTTTAATTAGCAAACAACCCGCAACAAAATCAAACGAATGGGTAGATCGTCAAAAACTCCAGTTAAAAAGAATTTAACAAAGATAAGTAAAATTTAAATATTAGAAAGCAGTCAAAACAGAAAAGTCGTAATGTTTATGAAATTACAAAGTCGGATTACAATTTCCTCATAAAAACCACGTGACCCAAAGGACACTTATTTGAAATTATGTATGTTAACATAACAGTTTTTTAATGGGTTTTTTTATTATTATTTTTTAATTAAATTTGCATAGCTGTAAACTATAAAACATTTATTTAACATATTTTTAATCACTCTTTCAGACAGTGACAAGAAAACATGTCTTTGCCATGTTGATCAAATTGACAAATCATAGAAGCAATCCACTGCAAAATGAACGATATCTAAAAGCTATTATATAAACCGATTTTAGATTTAATGTCACAGATGTCATTGACAAATACCACGATTTTAAGTGACACAATTTGATTAAAATCAGTCCCTAATGCCGCTACACTATATATAAAGTTTTAGACAATCTGAACTTTGAGTCAGATTGGAAGCGCGTCCTATTTATCGAACTACGTTGAACTCTGAATAATATTCAGGAAAACTGGGACTTGCAATATTAGAACTTTTAGTGCATATATACTGGAATGCATCAAACTCATGAAATTGCAATACAAAATATGGTTCGCTCCAGTTTTGAAGCCGCCATTTTAACCAATTAACAGATCCAAACATATTTATTCTTAAAAAAGTAATAAAATATCATAAAATAGATTGATGAAAAGAATATCTTAAAAATTATAGGTATACAGTTGTAGAATGCATGGCCTTAAATGTGTCTTTTAAAAAGTTTAATTTAAATCGATTTTTTTTGTCGCATAGAATGCGTAATCTTTTGAAGGTGGCCTTTGAGTGTAAAATCTATCAAAAAAAAAAAGAAAGAAAGAAGATACATTGTAATCATTGGGTTAGATAGAGGATAGGGAAAAGCCAACCCGTGTGTGATCGGTTCCATCTGGACTTGGCACGTTCCAAATGTCACCGGCTAAAGGCTCGTTTCCGATGGAACCGGTCGTCCAATGGTTTGGATTTCTCAATCCTCTATCTTACGCAATGATTGATTATTTTTCTCACTCACATGAACACAAAAAAAACTAAATATAAAAACCAGTTACAAACTCGTTGCAAAAGTTGGGAAGGGCTTAGGCGTTTGACGTCTTATTATTGACAATCACCAGCATTTAATTAGTTGCCAAAAAAAAATAACAACAACAAGAAACAAAAAAAAAATCTGATCCAGTTAATGTGTCATAACATTCAATTCAATATTACATAATATAAATCCGTGATTCAATGAAAGCATGGTCTTTCAAATAAAAATTCTACTTGAAAAATCCTGATAAAAGTAAATTCAAATGAGATTCGTCATCAAGAAACAATTAAGGTTAACATAAAAACATCAATGTTAAACGTGGAAAATGTCACAATATTACTAAATAGTAAAAAAATAAGTAGTCCTCTGCAAATTCTAAGACCCTTTAATAATACTGAACAGCCTTCTTCAAGACTAGTGTATTATTGAAGTAATGCTATATCACAGATATACTTGTCCACCAACGTCCTTTGGATGACTTGTTACTTCTACTTCTAAGTTGGTATCGTCTGTAAATCCGCTGTGCAGGCATCAGCGACGAGTGGTGCCATTAAAAATATGGGCTAAAAACCTGTCCCCTATGTGCGGCACCAGGCGTCTTTCAATTAAAAGAAGAAACATAATGAGACTTAACCTTCATGAAAGTGCATGAAATCAATATATGATACTTTTGTAACATTTGATACCTCCCCTGATGAATAAAACATGTGTAGTTAATGTCTAATGTTTTAAATTCATGCGTGACTCATGCGTGCGCAGAAATGGTTAGACAGACAACGGACATACAGACAGACAGACAGGCATACATTGATTGCATGTGTGCTCTGAAACTGAAATATTAAGTTTCTGCGTGCAATCATACATGTATTTCATGAATTGCACGTGTTACATGACATTGTGTTACAAAAATCCGGAAATGGTACGGTTCTTCGGCGCTGACCAAAATGAAGGGGAGACCACTACGGTAGTTCCCTATTTAATTATATTACGTCAAGCACGGGAATTAAAAAGAAGCGAAACAAAAAGTGGAATTTGGTGCACAAAAAGTAATTTTTATCAGTATTTTGTTATGAATTGTGCGAATAATTCTTGTATAATCACGTGTACTGTTTAATGATAATAAACAACGGATGTCTAAATCAATTGACATTGAAAACTTATTTCTTTTAACATTTGATCAAAAAGGTTTCGCCCCAAATTAAAAATCGTGGAATTCATCATAAAGAATCAGCTTTTTTTTAAAAAAAATGACTTAATTTTTTCTTGTCCTATTTAAGATATTTTTCTGAAACAAAAAAAAGTTTAATTTTTTGGCGCGTAATTTGGGATTAAACCCCCCCCCCCTAAAAACCATGGACGTTCCGGTGTTTACAGTTTAATGTAAATTGGCTAACTTGTTATCCAATCGCTACGCTGAGATAATACACAGTCACTGGTTGACCTGGTTTGCACAAAAGAACACGTGCTTATGTTTGTGATACTGTTTGTGAGCAGTTGACCTAGCAATGAATGGAAAAGGTGTGGCTAAATGTTCCGCTACGAAAAACCGGAAAGGTCCATTACCGACTCTGAAACCCTCCTACCTCTCCAAAACAATGTAAATTGGAGTTAGGGCCCCCACGATTACACGTTTAAACGGGTTCGTTTCGATTTTCTTTCATAAACGTTTACGATATTGTTTACCTTTTAATCGAAATGACCATATTGTCTTACGAAATTTCTCAATCATTGCCTGTTATCATGGATTTTATCAATTCTAGTGGTTTATTCCAAAGTAAAAAAACGGAAAATAGGTGTTTACAACCCTCCACACAGCATTACGGTGCAAAATTGCTCATGACATAATACATTTTTGGTAAAAAAGGGGGTTACAATGCAAAAATGTGTGCTGACTCAATGGTGATGAGCCCTGCACATTCTTTATTTGTACATGTATTAAAAATAGAAAGAAAGACATCATTTGGCGACCTAAATACATGGTGTGTATAGTATATAGAGGTACCACCGTTTAAACGGTGTCGTTTCGGTTCTTAGCAATCGTGTAAACGTTTACAAAAAAATGTAAATGTGAAGCCTTAATTGCAGTAATTTAAATTTAGAATTGTTTTAATTTTTGATATATGCTCCTTCATTCCCGAAAAAGTATGAAATAATACATATAATTACTTATGGTGTGCAATAATATGGTATATATAGTAGTCTATATATAATATAATGTAATATACATCTACAAACAGCAATTTTATTGTAAAACCCTATTAAAATGGAACAATTCAAATTTAAGTCACTTTTGCTCATTTCGTCTAAAATCCCACTTTCGTATTTTAGGCAAACCCCTCCATCAGGGTTCCCACGGTCAGGGAAAAAGTCAGGGAAAAATGATTTTTTTTTCAAGGTCAGGGAAAAGTCAGGGAATTTTGAAATTGGTCAGGGAAATATGAGAAATAAGCAAATGTCAGGGAAAAGTCAGGGAATTTTGTAGCAGAAAAATGTTGGTCAAACTGTAGGAAGCAAAATCAATCTAGGCTAAGGCATTTTCTTTGATTATCTTAGGTAATTTTATATTGATTTATCATTATGAGCATTTTTTTATTCTTGTAAATATCTTGCTCCAAAAAATATGCTTAAGTCTGAAACTTTTTGAAATCTTTTGTCAGTTCAAGAAACTTTATCTTAATAATGAAGAAAAAAATCTTCTAAAAATCTGTAAGTCCAAAGTTATCCAAACTTGGCAGGATTGTTCCTTTGGTAATGGGCTTCTAAATTTGTTAAAAGATTTTGATTCCGTGCAAGAATCTGGTTGTCATGGCAACCAAAAGAAATTATAAGAAATAAAACCTACTTCTAAAGACCCACAAGGCCTAGAGCTTAGATATTTTGCCAAAGGCATCATCTAATAGACCTCTAACAATTGACCCATGCTTGGGGTCCTTGATTTTTATTAAATGCAAATATAATAAAAACTTAAAGTATCTTACTGTCTGCTTAGGTACAAGGCTTAGAGCTTTGATATTTGGTATATAATATCATTTATGATTTATAGGTCCTCTACCAAAGTTGCTCAAATTTTGCCCATATTGTCAAAACTGGCCCACCCAAGGGATCATAGGTTTTCCTTATATGTTTATACATTTAGTAAAAATTAATTATCAATTATTGCACTATAATATGGCCTTTGTATCTTAACATTAGACACATCTGCACATTAATTTTCATATGTCATGCTGAAATATAACCCTTGACCCTGAAATTCACTAGATACAACTGCATTATGGCAAAGTTTTATTGTATAGAACAAAAAAAATCTACTTCTGTTATACTGATGCAGTGACTTAGCATTTCTTCACAAATGCAACCTTTTATATTTTGGCCCCTCCCTATACAAATCAGTGTAATCAATGGATGATTGACTAAAATAGGCATGCATTTTACTTGAATAAATGTTAGTAATCAATTAAAAGCTTTTGTTTTAACAAGAAACAATAAGACAGATAATGAAGTGGCTTCATGAAAAGCAAAATGTAGGCAAAGCTAATAATACTAGTATATATTAGAAATTATACAAAACTAGCTATGGTAGTTAGTATCTCAAAGTTTTGATTACACTGATTTATATGCTCAAGAATGAAAAATATTTGAGCATGATATATGTTATCAAATACTTTTCATTTTGGATAAATGTACTCATGCTAATTGAAAGTAAACTACACAAGTAACTAATGACAATTGTTGCTTATATTCATATACATGTATTCTGTATCTGAAATAATTTAAAATAAAGAAAGGGAGGAAAGAGGTTGGCTAATATAGGGAAGAGGAGGCCAGCATATAAAAAAATGTTTAATGCTCTAAAGATTGTGAAAACTTGACGCTGTTATTGGTCAGGGAAAAATGGTCTTGGTCAGGAAAAAGTCATGGAAAAGTCAGGGAATTTTGATTTCTCTTCTTTGTGGGAACCCTGTCCATAACTCAAGAAACAACAACATTTTTTCCACAAAAATTCAAAATCTTGGTACTCAGTGGTAGGAAATAACAATTGATTTCTCTAAATTAGGACTCTTATAGGATATGAGGCTGTTATTAGTCCCCTACCGGTTTACCGGAGGGGACTTTAGGTTTACCCTCCGTCCGTCTGTCCGTCTGTCCGTCCGTCCGTCCGTCCGTCAGTCCGTCCGTCCACAAAACTGGATCCCGTGATAACACAAAAAGTACTGAAAATATTTTAATGAAACTTGGTATATGGATAGATGGCAGTATGGAGATTATGCACGTCTTTTTCTTTTTTTCCTATGTTGAAAATTCTGGTTGCTATGGCAACAAATAGACTGAAAATATGGCAAATTTTACACATAACCTGGATCCCGCAATAACGCAAAAAGTACTGAAATTTTTTTAATGAAACTTGATATATGGATAGATGGCAGTATGGAGATTATGCACGTCTTTTTCTTTTTTTCCTATGCTGAAAATTCTGGTTGCTATGGCAACAAATAGACTGAAAATATGGCAGATTTTACACATAACCTGGATCCAGTGATAACGCAAAAAGTATTGAAAATATTTTTATGAAACTTGACATATCGGTAGATGGCAGTATGGAAATTATACACATCCTTTTCTTATCTTCCTGTGTTGAAAATTCTGGTTGCTATGGCAACAAATAGACTGAATTTCAAGATTTCTGATTCTAGTTTTTAAGTTTTTTCACTATAAGTTCTTTATTTCTTAAGGTATTTTCTTCAAACTTTAAAAATAAGTTGCTAGTCATCAACCACATCATATGTGACAAAGTTTACAACTCTAGCACAAAATTTATCAGAATTACCTCCCTTGAACTTAAAATTTTCATGAAAAAAAAACATTGTTTTTTTTTTAATAACTTCTTTTTTTCTGAACGTATCTACTTCAAACTTCATATAAATGTTTCTTATTATCACTCAACATTTGAGAGTGTTCAATACTCTAGCAAGACTATTTCCAAAATTATGCCCCTTTTGAACTTAGACTTTTTTTTGAGAAATTGGTAATTTTTACTCCAACTTCTTCAATCATGATAGAATTTTCTTCAAACTCCCATATCATTATAATATGACAAGGTTTATAAATCTAGCATCCATATTTCCAGAATTATCTCCTCCTTAAACTTTTAATTTTTCCTATTTGTTCTTTTAACTTTCTTTTACTTCAATTTCAAAATAAAAATTCAATATTCAGACCTTCATTACTAATTGTTCTTTGTTACACTCACATCATGTATGACATCGTTACCTCCTTTTTTTTTAAATTTTGCTTTTAAAATGTTATATTTTGATAACAGGGATGTTTAAAAAATAACTTTAGACTGTCCTTCAGTCCGTATGTCTGTCTGTTCACTGTGAGAACTTTTTCAACAAATTTACTTAAAATAGAACATAAGTGAATGGCCAATGGCCCTTCAGAATGTTGCTTGGGCTCTTACCGGTAGGGGACTTATGGATTGCTTGCAATACTATGATAATTGCTTGTTAAAATAATTTCAAGTTTATAAGAAGATATATAATCACCAAGTCACTGCAAACTTGTGTAAGTCATCAGATATGACTGCTGGGTTTTTGTGAAAAAATTACCATAAGAACTCAATAACAGGACCGCAGATTGCGGCGTATATTTTCGACCGTGTAGCGGTTTTTAAAAATGTTTCTGCTACATCTAAATATCTTTTAGTATCATACGAGTGTATGGACTCAAAAAATATATTATCAATTGAACCCAATCTGTCTCTTTTAAAACTTGTCAAATTTTACAGTATTAAAAAAAAAAAGACAAGGAGTGACATCAACCATTCGCCGCAACATTTTCCGCATGAGTTTTTCCACTTTGGCTACAATTGATTACTATTTTTTCAGAATTATGTTCCCGTTATTTTTGTCAACTATAAGGTATCGTCCGGATATAACGTTAACGGTTTATTGTTTACACATGTTGACATGTATAGGCGGCATTATAACGGGCATATTCGTGAATTGATTTGTTAAAATTGAGAAAACGGACACTTTAGTAATATGGTCCAACTGATTTGGCCTAACTAAAAAAAGAATATTAAAACATGATCCATAGATAAATATTTTAGGCACTTATCTGGTATTCATAACTAGAAAAATTAAACAAAAATCAAGCATATCAAGGGGGATAACTTATGCCGAAAGTTGTGGTAAATGGCGGATGTCACTCCTTTTCTAATATACCATAATTTGACTGATTTTTAAATTAGTAGATTATATTAAATTGAGATTAGATAATTAAAGACCACCTGCTCACATAATATGAAAAGATATTCAAAGGTCGGACAAACAATATGTAAAGCCAGTACGGATTTGGATTTATGCGTCGCAAAATGCAGTCCTGTTCCAGAGTTCCTATGAAAATTAACCAACTGAAAGGTAGTCTATTCAAAATAAATGAATTATCTATTGTATTGTGCATTTAAATATGATAAGATTAGGCCACTCTTAAAAAATTATCTGTTTGCTATTGCCGGCCGACCCAGCGAAAATGCCCCGACTCAAAAGTTTTTTTCAGCTTAAAAAAATCAGATTTATTTTTATTTCCGCCAAATCAGCAAGGGCATTCCATCTAAAAAATTCCCTCGAAAACAAAAATAAAATTGGAGGAAAATCACACATTTAATATGTAAAGTAACGAGTGATCATTCATGAGGGCATTCTGTGCGTTACTATTTAAAGTATTTACATAAATAGCAACCAACCAGGGAAGGATATTTTCCTTACGTCACGCAGTACTGCATGCGCGCGGCAATTAAGTCGAATTAACTAATAATAGAACGTATCAAATTAAGGTGTGGAAACGGGATTAAAAATAATGTTTGTTCAGTTAATGAATATTTGTGAAGCATTTATATGGTCACTAGTTTACCATGTGGTAATTTTAATGTGCTTTGGAGTACATGTTTGTTTGTTTATGACTGCCGACACAGATTAAAAACTTAGCCCATGCAATAAAACATTTCTGGTAGCAGCGGGGATTCTGTCATAAAATTTACCGAAAAAATAATTATTTGGAAGCTGTGGTCATTTTATATGCATTATTGTTTTGATAGCAGACACAATTATTGCAAAATATCTTCAAGATCATAAAAATGTAAATAAAATATCACAATCAAAATCACAGATTTACATACGTCTAATTAAACTCCATGTCAAAATGCACTTACGATTAATAATATGTCAATAATTGACACGATAAATATCCAACATTTTTTACTTGAGCAATAATTAAACATGTGTAATCATTCCTTGACAAAAAGAAATGACAGTTTTTTTTCTGATATATAAAAAAGAGGTGGAAGTCGATTGAGTGTCGGCATTTCTTTGATGATTCGGCAACAACTACAGGTGTGTAAACATCAAAGATTCACAGAAATCTTCAGAAGAGCCGACCAGTCATTTGTCAGAGGTCATTTCGTGTGTAAATTTTGTATTTATATTTAACAATGGAAACATTATATTCCTTTTATCTATGGATGCTACTTTTTGCGCGAGTGTTTTTGTGTCTTTTAGCGCTATGGAATTTCAACAATCTGCGATAATTTTCGGGAACTAACAATGAAATATTTTAACGATCCGCCATTCAGAAATTATAGGAGACAAATCTTGCGTGTGTTATTTTTACAGACCTGTAATAAATTGAGTAATGATCATGCATCCATGAGAACGAAATGTCCTGGTGATCCACTATAATTTTTCCAGTTCGTACGGGAATTTAACGCAGGATTAGTTTATCACATTGGTAATTTGACCATGATTGAATTTATGTCTACATAGTCATTTTTTTTATTTCATGTTATGATTACTAGTGAGCATGTTTTTTATTGTTTTTGACTGTGTTTAACATGTTAGTTTTGCCGATGATGATAGTGTAGCCCAAATTTCCACAATCTGTTACAACGTACTAAGCGTATTAACTTATGTTCAGTAAAAATTATATAAAAAAAAAAAAAAGCCTACCTACCGACCCACTCCTTATAACTCTGGGTCGGCAATAGCAAACATATATATTATTAAGGATGGCCTTAAATTATTATTTGTGATAACTGTTATATCAAATCATCATATGAAACTATAACGCACCTTTTCCTGATGTGTCAAATTCTCAGTCCCATATTAAAGTAACTGCTGTGATGTTTGGTAACCTGGCAGGCAGATTTTGTTTTGCAGGTGTGAGTGTGTAGATTCACTAGTATGAAGATGGATGAAAATGAGGATGACTTTGAAGTTTTAGATCTTGGTGCTTTTAGACGGAACAAAAGTAGACTAGAGAACATCTTAGGAGATATTTCCAAACAATCTGCAGCCAAACAAGTTGTGATTGGGGGAGCTGCTGGATGGTAAATATACATTATGATCTTTAATCATCATCTTAGTGCAATAACTGAATAACTCTTATTAAATTTAGAAGAACTTAACTCGTTACTTCACTAAGGTGACACACACATTTATACATTAATGGAGAAAGAAAACATGCATTAACGGATAAAATCACAAGAGCACCTGTTTTATACTGTTTTTTTGCAAGGTTTTTGAATATGTGACTCAGGGTGTCATGTAAAATTTGCTTACTGCAATGTTTGGCCCATTTGTTTCATTATCAAAACATAACTGCCAAATGGTTATGACAAAGCACTAGCACATTGAAAGTGTTTTTTTCTTTTATACAAAAAAATAGATAAGGAAACACAGAATTACTGAATTAGAGGTATATATTCATGCAAGATAATAGATTAGCGTTTATGTATTTTTTTTTTCGCATTAAGATCTGCAGATGCCCTTTTATTAAATTCCTTGCACTGTGGGCTCGGGCTTTGAATAAGCCCTAATGCTTGTGCAGATTTTAATGCATGAAAAAGGTGAATTTTATAGATTAGAAAAGTGTAGTAATAAAGATTTTTTACATGGTTATGTGGCCCCAGTTATAAGTACATTTGTTAGGCAGGATTTTCATTTTGTAATTCTTTGTTTGACAGAATGAAAACTGTTGCTGTGTTTTGCAAAGTATTCTTTTTAATCTGGTATCAGTAGGTTTGTCCGTTATTCAGGGTATTAGTAGTGTTTGAAAAACCCTGGTCTTGTATGAGTTATCTTCAATAAGACAGATGTATATATTTGATAGGTCTGAGGCTGTTTTTTTTTTGTGTGGACAATAAACTTTTTTTCTGTACTTGAATCAATAAAATGTATATGTACTTTAAATAAATATAACATTTTCATGAATTAAGTAATGAACAAGCTAAAATGATTACTATATGTTTGAATTCCAGTGCATCTGGCTATCTGTTTGTGAAGGTTGGTAAATCAGTTGCCATCAGTATTGGAGCTTCACTTCTACTAATTAGGGTAATATATTATCACGATCATGTCCCATCCTTGAAGTTTGGCCACATTTATCCTTTCAAGTGTTTCACAGTGTTTTGCATTCAAATAATGACATACAAATCAGAACATATATACAATGTACTGCATTTTGAAGATTAACTGTATGAATAACTGAATAACAAATATGCTTGCTAAAACAGGCATGATTGTGGAATTTATAATGAAATTTAGCATACCATTGATTCAAATGATAGTGGGACTGCCCTGTTTGTACGGGTAATATTTTTGTAAGATGTTTTATATGCAATTTTTCATAAAATACAGAACTTGGAACATTGTGTTAGTTTTAGGGATAATAATTGGTACCCAAGACTCATCACTCTAGGGTTGATTATGTTGCGTAATTATATCCCTTCACTGTGAATAACTTTAAAGTGAGAAAATGTGGCCAAGCTGCTTTTTATGTCTCTAACAAATGTTTTTATGACCAAGCTTTATAACCTTCCTCACTTATTTTACAGGTTCTCAGGCTATTTGTTTATTAAAGTTGGCAAAATAGCTGCCTGCAGTTTAGGCACTACAGTGCTTCTTATACAGGTACTTGTTGTTCTTGTTCTGTTTCAATTTGCAAGTTACATGTTACGTAAATCAGTTACTAACTTCAAGGAGTGTGTTCCAATTTCTGCTGTTGTATGGGTTATATAAACAGCCAATGTATAATAACTGTTTGGTTTTATATTACCAACCAGTGTAAAATGACTGTACAGGATTATGTTACCAGTCACTGTAAGATGGTTTTAGGATTATATAATTACACTCTTTGTATGATGTTTGTAAGGTTACAGTGTAAGAAATTCGGATTTGAATTCACTAGTCTGGCCGGACTATCAGATTTGAATATTCACTAGCCCAAAAGACATTTCACTGTTCAAAACAGTTGTTCATATTGTCTCTGAAAATACAGTAGCCGGGTCGGGCTTGTTACTGTGAAAAGTTTGTAGCCCAAGGAAAAATTTAGAAGTCGGGCTATCAGACTACTACTGCTAATTTCGAACACTGAGGTTATATTCACCAACTTTGTTGATTGATGTAGGATTATATTACCGGCCACTGTTACACAGATATAGGGTTATTATACAAGTCACTGAAATACAGTTATAGGGTTATATTACCAGTCAATGATATACAGTTATAGGGTTATATTACCAGTCAATGATATACAGTTAAAGGGTTATATTTATTATTACCAGCACTGTAAAATGGTTGTAGGGTTATATTGTCACCCATTGTAAGATGGTTGTAGCATTATATTGCTATCAACTGTAAGATGAATATAGGATTATATTGCCATCAGCTGTTAAGACTGATGTAGGGTTATATAACCCCTCTTTGTAAGATGGTTATAGGGTTATATTACTAGCCATTGTAAGACAGTTGTAGGATTATATAGCCACAGTCTTAAAGATTAGTGAAGGGTTATATTAACAACCACTATAAGATGGTTGTGGGGTTATATTACCACCCACTGTTAGAACAATTGGTTTATACAGAATTTTATTTAGTTCTAACTATTAAACTTTTAACGTTTTTTTCGTAGTTTTCTACATTATTAATTTATAGCTTTCTGCTTGTTGGACCACAACTGTATTCTTAAAGCGGCCTTCAGTTTGAAAAACAATTATATGTATTAGCCTTCTTCAAAACAGCATCCAAGTGAGCTATTTATAACACTACAGTGATGTTTGTTGCTAAAAATAGAACAAATTGTCTGCTTTACTAATTTAAATATAGAGGGCGGACCAGTAGATTAGACCAGCTTTCTTCTTTTGATTTGACAATTATATGAAACAATCTATCTAAAAATAACATATATAACCTTTAAAAAAACTGAAGGCCGCTTTAAAATTTCCTAGTTTTTCTTTGTTTTCTATAGCTTTCTTCTCGTCAGAAAATCTGCTAGCACCTCATTCAAATCACTACAAAAAAACACATTTATGGTTTTAACAATGAGATAGATGATTTAAGGGGGAGCTTATAATGTCCGCCTGCTCAGTTCAATAAAGAGCATCAGTTTGGTTATCGAGGGGGTTGCTGCTTTGATCCTAAGACAAGGGATAATTTCTCTGTGACCCTTGACCTCTGACATTGAGTCTAATGGTCTTTCCACATTCATTCAGAAATTATATCGCGTTTATAGAAGGTCACATGCTGAGAAATTGGCAATTACTGGTTAGTTATCCAGGAAAGCAAGTAAGGTGGATCGACCTCCGAGATAAACCAAAAATGTTTTTTTACACTTATTAACGACCCTTTTAGTTAATGCTTTGAAACTTACAACCATTCGCTTTACTTGAGTAAAAATTGTGGATTCTGATGTTTGAATATTTGTTTTCCATATTCACTTATTCGTTTAATATGAAGTTTGGTGGGATCAAACTTTTGTCTGTTATTTCATGTCCAGAATTGTTTTAGTCTGAATACCATATGTTATTTTAATAAACTTAGAAATAACTTATATTGAAATATATTTAATTATCGATAATTTATTGAAACGTAAAAATCCTTTTTGTTTTGGGCCCTAAAAATTGATACATGTGTTTGCCCATTCTACAGAAAGAAAATTAATTAATTTCTAAGGCTTAATGTGCCTTTAATGTAATATTTTTGAAGAATTATTTTACTCCATCTGCTCATGTGTTGCTTAAGACAAGCACCAGACAGAATTATTCAAACGTCTGAAATATAAATTTCAGATAGCTCAACATCAAGGTTATATACAGATAAATTGGTCCAAAGTCAATAAGGAAGTGACACAGGCCAAACGTAAAGTACAGCGTGAAGCGAACAGACAGTTTCCTCAGCTAGTCGATAACGTAAGTAGGCAAAGTTATCATTAGCAGATTGGCGATTTATGTCATCTGCTAAAATGCTGTTAAAATTGGTTGTATTTTCAGCCGCCTCCTTGATTCTCGGCAAAATTGGTTGTTTTTAGTAAGCACAACTGTTGCCTCATAGAAATGAATAACCAGAGTGTATCGATTTTGAGTATGAAATTATTGTTTAATTATTTTGCTATATCATTATGGCAGAGCTTTTTACAATCAATTAAATCAAAGATGTTTGAGTTTTATTAAAGTGATATACAAGGTATTTTGATAAAAGCAAAACTCATGTCCAGAAAGACTAGTTTTGAAATTAGACAGAAAATGTCACCTGTGGTCTTTCTTTGTCAGTAAAGCTGAAAAAGTTGCAATATGACCTAACAGTGTTGATGCTACTTAACCCCATTGCCAGCTGGTGGCAACTTATTCTTCCCATGTATAAACCAGGGCTGGTCAAGATATGCTTGTCCATCTTTCAACTGGTCAAAACTTGTTCATCACTGTTGTGGAAAATTTTCAAAATATACATTAGCGAATAGTAAACAGTGCACTGCAGACAGTGATAAGATGGCATGGGTAGAATCTGTTCCTACCAGCAAGCTATTAAGCTTGAACTATTTTAATTTTGTTGACACAATATTTCACAGGTACATGAAACAAACTATTTTTTATGTTCTATATGGGCTATATACTTTAATAAGTCTTATTTGTGTAAAATCAAAACAAACATATCATTATATAATACATGAAGACCATTGCCAAAATATTTTTCCAATCAGAATTTTTTCTTTTCAGTATATTTGTAGGTCTTGACTTAGCATATTTTAATATTTTCTTTTGTTTTCCTTTCAGTTACGAAGATTTGCACAAGAGAACATGTTTTTGGCTGGAAGTTTTGTTGGTGGATTTTTCATTGGATTAGCATTTTGAAAACTCAAAACATTCAACGCAAACAATGTACATTCTTTCACACAAGTGGGTGGGGTGATGATTATTTATGACTTCTTGCAGGAACTGAGTGATGTGAACATAGAGAAGGATATTATTTAGTTGTGTAACTTTGTAAAAGCAGAGTTGAATCAACATTTGTGCTAAATATGAGTGAATATTACAAGACTTGAATCTGTGTTTTTTTAGGGAGCATTAAATTTTGAATTTTTTTATATTTCATTATATGCATATTTAACGTTCGTCCTTATGGGAACTGAGTGATGTGATCATAGAGAATGATATTATATTCATTTGTTTAATTTTGTATAAGTGGAATTGAATCAACATGTGTGCTAAATATGGGTGTATATGACTAGACTTGCAATTGTGTTCTTTTTAGGGATCATTTGTATTTGTTAGTATTTCATTATAAGCATATTTAACTTTCACCCAACTACATACCGTATCTTAAAATGGCTTGTAGATCTACATTTTTCAATTTAAACAAAATCGTTTATCATTTCTAGGAAAAATCTCAAAACAGGTACTTACCCAGTTACTCAATAGCAGACAGTGCAGCCCATGATTAGAGGTGCTGGTTGATCTTGGTTTGCACTGGCAGTATTGGTACAGATTTTGCAGCCAATACTCTATAGCAAACAGTGCAGACCATAATTAAAGAGGCTGGTTGATCTTGGTCTGCACTGGTAGAATTGGTTCAGATTTTGCAGCCAATACTCTATAGCAAACAGTGCAGACCATAATTAGAGATGCTGGTTGATCATGGTCTGCACTGGTAGAATTGGTTCAGATTTTGCAGCCAATACTCTATAGCAAACAGTGCAGACCATAATTAAAGAGGCTGGTTGATCTTGGTCTGCACTGGTAGAATTGGTTCAGATTTTGCAGCCAATACTCTATAGCAAACAGTGCAGACCATAATTAAAGATGCTGGTTGATCATGGTCTGCACTGGTAGAATTGGTTCAGATTTTGCAGCCAATACTCTATAGCAAACAGTGCAGACCATAATTAGAGATGCTGGTTGATCTTGGTCTGCACTGGTAGAATTGGTTCAGATTTTGCAGCCAATACTCCATAGCAAACAAATGTTTAGATGCTTGTATCAAGTGCTAAGGATAAATTTATCATTTATTTTTGTGATTTTTGATACGATGTTCTTTCTATTAATGTTATTTTTTCTTAGCCATTTAGAGTTAAATGTTATTTTTTCTTAGCTATTTAGAGTTAAATGTTATTTTTTCTTAGCTATTTAGAATTTTATGGGGTTTTTTTGTGTGTGAAAATTACTGCATTTCAGAAATTTACAATGCAAAAAATATTGCTTGTCAATATAAAACTTTTGAGATAATTTAACAAAACATGTATACAATACAAATGTTTTTGAATCATAATTAATTGTGTATTGTGTTGATTTGATTAACAGAGTTTTGATTTACAGAGTTTAACTTATTATTTAGATATTCTTAACAAATGTATTTATTTGTCTTGATTAGCATTTGAAATTATATTTTGTCAAATAGGACTGCAGTATTTTAATTGAATGGCAACACATTTACTTTGGTAAAAAGGCAAACTGTTAATCAGTGTAGTTACATGTAATAGACTAATGATAAAAATAATTCCAAACACTAAATTGGTTGGCTGGGCCGTTCAAGATCAATTTAATTTTGTAAATACTGACTAACAAACACTAACCTATACATAAAGTGTCAAGTTATAGGTTAGTAGGTTAAATTTTAAAGCAACACGCCCCAAGATTTATGCATATTTTCATGAAAATTTTGATATTGAAATTAAATGTATAATATTGTTTAGTAACAAAAGGAAGCAATTTACACATCATAAATGGCACTTATAACCCATGTTATTACAAAAAGAGGTCAAAATATGCGTTAGTAACACAGTAGAAATATAGTTATACATAATGAAAAATTTGCCATTGATTGCTAATAACATGTAAATTATTACTTGAATATTGAATCTTTCTACTTTGCCTAAAATCTTAGTACATTTTTCACAAGTTTGATTTATTGAAATAGTTTTGCTCATCTGGAGGTATAAATAATGCTCATTTCAGACACAATCTGTTTTTAGCTCACCTGTCACTTTGTGACAGGGTGAGCTTTTGTGATCGCTTTTCGTCCGGCGTCCGTCCGGCGTCCGTCCGTAAACTTTTGCTTTAAATGACATCTCCTCATAAACCACTGAGCCAATTTCATCCAAACTTCACAAGAATGTTCCTTTGGTGGTCACCTTTAAAAATTGTTCAAAGAATTTAATTCCATGCAGAACTCTGGTTGCCATGGCAACCAAAAGAAAAAACTTTAAATATCTTCTTTTAAAAAACCATAAGAGCTAGAGCTTAGATATTTGGCATGAAACATCTTCTAGTGAGTGTCTACCAAGTTTGTTCAAATAAAAGCCCTGGGGTCAAAATTGGCCCCGCCCCGGGGGGGTCATTGATTTTCCCTATATGCATATAGTAAAAACTTAAAAATCTTCTTTTAAAGAACCCAAAGAGCTAGAGCTAAGATATTTAGCATGAAACATGTTCTAATGGGTGTCTACTAAGTTTGTTCAAATAAAAGCCCTGGGGTCAAAATTGGCCCTGCCCCTGGGGGTCATTGATTTTCCCTATATGCATATAGTAAAGACTTAAAAAATCTTCTTTTAAAGAACTGTAAGAGCTAGAGCTTAGATATTTGGCATGAAACATCTTCTAGTGAATGTCTACCAAGTTTGTTCAAATAAAAGCCCTGGGGTCAAAATTGGCCCCGCCCCAGGGGGTCATTGATTTTCCCTATATGCATATAGTAAAAACTTAAAAATCTTCTTTTAAAGAACACAAAGAGCTAGAGCTAAGATATTAAGCATGAAACATCTTCTAGTGAGTGTCTACCAAGTTTGTTCAAATTAAAGCCCTGGGGTCAAAATTGGCCCCGCCCCGGGGGTCATTGATTTTCCCTATATGCGTATAGTAAAAACTTAAAAAATCTTCTTTTAAAGAACCATAAGAGCTAGAGCTTAGATATTTGGCATGAAACATCTTCTAGTGAATGTCTACCAAGTTTGTTCAAATAAAAGCCCTGGGGTCAAAATTGACTCCGCCCCAGGGGGTCATAGATTTTCCCTATATGCATATAGTAAAAACTTAAAAAATCTTCTTTTAAAGAAACCAAAGAGCTAGAGCTAAGATATTTAGCATGAAACATCTTCTAATGAGTGTCTACCAAGTTTGTTCAAATAAAAGCCCTGGGGTCAAAATTGGCCCCGCCCCAGGGGGTCATTGATTTTCCTATATGCATATAGTAAAAACTTAAAAAATCTTCTTTTAAAGAACTCAAAGAGCTAGAGCTAAGATATTTAGCATGAAACATGTTCTAATGGGTGTCTACCAAGTATGTTAAAAAAAAAGCCCTGGGGTCAAAACTGGCCCTGCCCAGGGGTTGTCATTGTTTTTAACTATATGTGTATAGTAAAAACTTTAAAAATTTTCTTTTAAAAAACCCAATGAGCTAGAACTTAAATGTTTAGCAAACATAAGTAAATATCTACAAAGTTTGTTCAAATAAAAGCCCGGGGGTCAAAACTGGCCCTGCCCCAGGGGTGTCATTGTTTTTAACTATATGTGTATAGTAAAAACTTTAAAAATCTTCTTTTAAAAAAGCCAATGAGCTAGAACTTAGATGTTTAGCATGAAACATCTTCTTATGGGTGTCTACCAAGTCTGTTCAAATAAACAAATAAAAGCCCTTGGGTAAAAATTGGCCCGGGGGTTGGGGGGCCTATATACAGGTGAGCGACCTCAGGGCCATCATGGCCCTCTTGTTGGATTGTAACTATCACAACCTCAAAATGTTTACTTTATAGATTTTTAGATTTAAGTTGAATATCGGGTCATTATGGGGTCAAAAACTAGGTTACTAGAATCTTGTTGTTGAGTTAAAATCTTGGGGGTATTTTGGCATAGAGTTTCACTGGCAGTTGGCTTAAAGCATGAAATTGAATTTATTTAGTTATAGTCTTTTTTCAAGTCAGTAAGAGCAGAGCCTTCATTGACTTTTTGTTTTGGAAAGTTTTTTTTTTCCTCCTGTTTTCTTTCATAGTGCTTTACTTGAATAATTATGTGTTATATTTAGAATAATCATGTGTTATATAAGAATAATCATGTGTTATATTTAGAATAATCATGTGAATAATTCATGTTCTACAATGTTATTTAATAACAAATTAATATGTTGTGCAATTGTTTGTACCTTAAACTTCATTAAAAGTTATTTATAAAACATCGACTTGTACTTTATAAATCCCTGTTTTAAATTATCATGTCTATATTAGTTGGTTAATTCAGTTTGTCAATGCGGGATAAAGGAAATTACAAATTCACATGCGTAAAAGATCTCCAATAAGAAATTGTCTGGGTTTTTTTGTGCTGAATTTGGCATTTTCCGGTTCAGTGAATTTTGTTTACAGTTTTGGCCTTTTAATGATTTTTAGCACAACTATTTGCAGAATAATCGAGCTAATGCAGTCACTCATTTGTCGGCGTCCCTGTGGTCAAGTTTTTGCGTGTTAGCAAGTATCTCCATAACTTTTGAAGGGAATGGATTGAAACTTCACACACTTGTTCTCTGTGATTATCTAACATGATTTGCACAAGTCCCATAGCTCTAATTTGCTTTTTTGCATAATTATGCCCCTTTTTCGATTTAGAAATTCTTGGTTAAGTTTTTGCGTGTAAGCAAGTATCTCCATAATGTCTGAAGGGAATGAATTGAAACTTCACACACTTGTTCTCTGTGATTATCTAACATGATTGGCATAAGTCCCATAACTCTGATTTGTTTTTTTTCCATAATATTCCCCTTTTTTCAGCTTACAAATTCTGGTATCTCAATAACTACTGAAGGGTTTGTGCCTTTTTTGGGGAAAATTTTATTTATTCATAATAATAAAGCAGTGATTTACCCGGTAAAACATCTTAATAACAAGCCTTTGTACCTTTCGGACAATTTTATGTATTCATATAGGTAAGCATTATTTATACTTGGTGACAACTTTTTCGAATAGTTGACTGTCGCTGTTCTCTGACAGGTCTTGTTATTTTTAAAGTTTGTCTGGACTACCCTCTTTTACCACTAATGCAATTTCAATAAAACTTGACAGGATTGATCTGTTGCTCAAGTACTTGCACATTTAACAAGAGCTGTCGGTAGGACAGCACGCTCGACTATTCTAAGTGCTTGATAGTAAAAGAGCCTTGATAATGTTAATGACCTACAATTATGACCCTAAATGCATATGTGAAGTTTTAAATAAATATCTTTAATAGTTATTGAGATATTTAAAACTTGCATGTAAATATTAACCAAGAGACTAAGTAGAAAAGGGGATATGAATCAGCCTTAATGCAAGATAGAGTTATGGAACTTGGTCAGTGACATACAATTATGACCCTCCAATTATGACCCAAGTGCATGTGTAAAGTTTCAAGTAAATATCTTTGAAGACCTTTAACCTTTAACCAAAATTTTAACCAAAATTTCTAAGTAAAAAAGGGGCATAATTCTGTCAATATTGTAGGCAGAGTTATCCAACTTGTCAATCTGATGTACCTTGTTACTATAAATAAGTATTGTAAGTTTCACTTGAATATCTCAAGCAATAATTGAGATATTTGACTTTACAAAAAACTTTAACCAAAATTTCTAAGTTAAAAAGGGGCATAATTCTGTCAATATTGTAGGCAGAGTTATCCAACTTGTCAATCTGATGTACCTTGTTACTATAAATAAGTATTGTAAGTTTCAATTGAATATCTCAAGTAATAATTGAGATATTTGACTTTACAAAAAACTTTAACCAACGCCGACGCGGACGCTGACGCCGACGCCGGGGCGACTACAATAGCTCTCATATTCTTCGAATAGTCGAGCTAAAAAGGGTTTTCTGGTTGAATTATTTTGGCCCTTCAATGAAAAACATGTTTTGCCCTGATAATAATTTTTGTGTCTCCTACAGAGTAGCTGTGATCAGTAATCGCTCTTTTTTTTCATTGCCAAAATTCTAAATACAGTGTGTATACCTCTACCGTAAGAGGCAGTGAGGTAAAAAGTTGTGGTTGTCTTTCAGTTTTATTAGCACTAGCCTTAAAGGTGAAAATAGATAATAATCTTCATTGAGGTGATTCGTCAAATCACATTTATTGTTACAAATTCAAGTATTTTAACCTGTATAACCTACTTGAACAGAAGAAATTAGCTTTGCCACAAGCTAGTGCATGTACAATGTATAGAGCCAGGCCAGCCTTTACTGTTGGAACCTCCAATTTTATGGGTTTTTTTATATTGAAAAACCCTTAGACTGCAGATGGACTGTTCCAATATTCAGAGCAAGGCAAATTCATTTTAGCAGGTTTAATTAAACAAAAGTAGTAAAATGAGTTTCCTTTTGTCAAAAAATAAAAATGGAAAAAATAAAAACAAAGTAACTTTATATTTATACTTATAATTAATAATAAGCGTCAGGATCTTACATGTATAGGTACTTTTTTTTCATTGAAATTTTCTAAATATTACATTTGAAATTTTTAGATTGTATTCCTATGAAAACTAAGAAAACATAGCAATATGACTTCCTATTAGTATTAAATAAAGAAGCCGCAGATCTATAAAGTGTATTGTATCAAATCTTCACTTATTTCTGGACTGGTTCCAAGTGTCAATGTGAAGCTTTACTGATGGAGGAAGATCTCAGATCTCTGCTATGTGAATAATTCAAAGCACCAAACAGCACATTAGTAGAGCCACCCATTTTTTGAAAGCTACCTAGAGGGCGTCCTCACATGACAAAATTTAACATCTGTAACAAGTTTGGAACCAATAGGGGTAAAAGCAAAATGATTCAAAATCACATGTAGTCACAGCTATAAAAGATCATCATTGTATTTCAATTGAAAACATAGTTAGCAAATTTTATAATATAAACTAGTAGCATGGAAAAATAATTTATAGAGACATTTTTGTTTTTGTTTTACAAAACAGGACTTTTTTCTTTATCAATCTTTTTCTGTGTTGAGATTGCCTTGACTGTAACTTCTTTGGTCCTAACACAAATAGATGTATTCTTTGATATACAAAATTGTACATAAAAAGTTCTATTTTAAAAACGGACAAATAAAAATGAATGGACAAATGTAAAACAAAAACCTTTTTCATTTTTAAGACAGTTATATCATATAAACACCAATTGCCATAACATAACTTAAACAAAATTATGATTAACTCGCAAAGACGCAAATTAATGACCAATTTTTTAAATATGATAATCTAAAACAATGTGAAACACTTTGCATGAAATGGTTAAAATCTGTATATGTTCAAAACACAAATGATCATTTTTTTCCTTCCACCATTATTACATGATATCCAAATTTAGTTTTCACAGGAGGATCAGTGTATATGGGACTGTTAGTTGTGCTATTCTGTAAGGCAAATGCTGCTTCTTGGAAAGGTCCAACCATACTTCCTCTTGTCATCCAGCCAAGGTCACCCTGAAAACATAAAATGTACGAACACATAATACTCTTACCAGAACATACATTATATACATGCAAATGCAATTAAAATTTCATTTTAAGTTGAACCATAGTGCTCTTTAAAAACTTCAAAGTAGCCAGTGAAAACTTACAATTTAATCCAGTTTTTCAAATTTTTGTTTCCTTACACTAAAATTAGGCTAATAAACAATCAATTCTTTAATATACATGCCAAGCTTTCTTTCATTGCAAATTGTCAATTATTGTAAATTTTGATTGTTTAGTATATGATAATTATGATTAACAATAGACATATTTTTTACAATACACAAATAAGCTGATTGTACTAAAAATTCATAAATACACTTTGTCTTCCAAATCAGTAAGGCTTCACTTTCAACTTGGATTTTTGCTTTAGTTATTTTTAATATTTAATCAGATTGACAAAGTTCAACTTGTGAAATACAAATTCAATCTAAAATCTTCGAATTTCCCAACTTATTCTTGATAATAATCATATAATGTTTTTGAAAATATTTAAACATAATAAAAGTTTACAACTTACACCAGACCGAGCTTTGTCCTCGCTGTATTGAGCAGCAACTTCATTAAATTTCATTCCACTTTTTAATTTTTCTATTGCCTCTAGTGCTTTGGATTGTTTCTCGCATAAAATGTGACGAACCTGAAAATGAATATTATTTCTTGTGCAACACAAATTTCAAGGATAAATATATTTAACACTTTCTGTAACTAAATTTATGATGCATCATTTACAAGTATTTGGCACTCTGATTTCCGGCCATGCAAAGGTACAAGCAAAGCTTAAGTTATAGCATCCAATTTATTCCTGAAAAAAACTTTTTAGTCTGAGTTTTAATGTTACTTTTCAGTTCGTTCAACTAATTTAACTTCTCATAGTGTAGCTTAAGGTCTTCAGCGTACCCGTGTATATACTATGACATGACGTATCAGTAATGCCGCATCAGATGAAAAACAAAAATGTCAAAAAGCGGCTTATAAAGTTTTGGAAGCCAGAACTACTCATAGTGATATCAGGCTATGTAATGTTTTGACAGTAGGAAAACAGTTTAAAAGTAGGAAAATATATCTGTCCAATGGGTCAAACCGAAATAATTAGGCCACTTTTCCGTTTGCAATATTTTTCAGACCTATCGGATATAAATTATAATAATATGATTTTAAAAAGTTTTCTTTACTATTCTCATTTGAAAAGTCCCATGTTTAGAAATATATATCTATATAAGTATATCTTTTCCATTATCAATGACCAATAACATTCAATAAGTGGGGCATATTCTGAGTAATATAACAGTTCAGTCTATCCAGATTTATCCGAAATATATATTATGATCCGAAATCTATGTCACTTACTTTAACTGCTGTTCCTCCTTTAGCTTGTTTCTGTTGAGAATCTCCACCACCCTCTGCCCCTTTACTTTTTGCACCTTTTCCACCACCACCACCGCCACCTTTGTTTTTCGGCATGTCGAAATGATAAAATAGAAGTTTTGAAAATTGCACAAGTTGTTTTTCTAATCTGTATCACTGGAAGCTTTCTTTAAGTTTTGAAAGCGTTTTTGTAATTTAGACAGATTTGAAACAAAGTTAAAAAACTATTTGCTATTTATGTGTGCTTTGTCAGGCAAAAATGTCAAGTTCCGAAGATATTTATGGACCTTCTTTACCACCAGGTAAAAGATAAAAAAAAAACGAGCAAGAAGATAGTAAAAACTGTTTTTTTTATCAGTCACATTCGTCCTTTAGTATGCTCGCATTTTAATTAATTCGTCCCTCTACAATTCGTACCATGTTGTATTTGCTTTGTCTAACCCCCAAATAAAACTATTTATGTTTAATTTAATACTTAAATTTTTAAGAGTGTTTAAAGCTATATCTGTTGAAATTTTTTCATAAAAGTTGAAAAACTGAAATTATGTTATTTTCAACAAAGGTGCTAGACCACGCAATCCGGTCAACTCGTCCCCTGGTCAACTCGTCCCCTGGTCAACTCGACACCTTTTTGGTCAACTCGTCCCCTACTTTTGGTCAACTCGTCCCTAATATGGTCAACTCGTCCCCTACTTTCGATCTCTGTCTTTAAAATGTCTTTAACAGTTTAAATAATTCTTTTATGTAAAATATGTAAAATTAATACTGAATTTGATTGATATCGAAATATTAATAAAATAATTACGTCTTTTTTACGTTAAATTTTAATGATCTTTATCTAAGCGCACGTGCATAGCTTTGATGTCAAACTACAAAGACAGGTAAGTTTACAAACATTCAATTAATGTTTAATTAATCAGAGTTTTAATGATAATTAAAACTAAAATTAGGTCCAACTCTTTGATTTTTCCCGCCTCCCTGAATGGATTAAAGACTGACGACAGATTAACAGAAATTAGAAGCGCTAAAAACTTTATGTCGGTGCGTATTGATCTCATTATAGAAGGATCGTGTCAATTAAAAACATGATAATTGTTTGTTGGGAACTTGTCAATATAAAAGTTTCCCTGATAAATATAAGATTTATTCTTAAAAACACATTTGCGTTGTACGTTATATGAACATTGGATTATTTTTTTTGTGCATATCAATCATTTCTTAGAATTCCATATTGTTGGATTATAGACTGTATGTGAACGGTGTATGTGACAATTTTAATTATTTGTGTTGTTGATTGTGATTTTTTTAATTGATTAGTGTTGTTAATTGTTACAATGTACCCCTGCATTGATTGTAGGAAACATGTGCGGAAAAATCAGCAAGCACTTCAGTGTGAGCGCTGTGAACACTGGCAACACAGAAGTTGTAATACAGGTTAGTCATTTGTGATGTTTATGTTCATTTTTAACAGACAAATGGTCTTGCAATTCCAAATGATCGTATATAGTGTATTGGATTAAAAAATGTCAAAGAATATTTAAAGAATTTATTAAGTTTTTTTTCTAAATTGCATTTTATTGTAATATTATGGTCCATTATTATCATAGGAGTTGTATATACATACATGCCTTTTGAAAGAGTTAGTATTTATTTATTTTTTTTCATTATTTTTTTTTAAATAAAAAATCCGTACAATAATATTTGCAGTGGATATTAACTGATTGAAATCATGATTAATATTCAATTTCCATAAATAAATCTTTAAATTGATCTTAAAGAGGAGCTGTATAAAACCGAGTCCCAGAATTTCTTGTATAATACAAGTCAACATATTGAATGTATTAATTGTATTTAATCAACATTTTCATATATTTGACCATACACCATCAAATCAAATTGGACATGTGGAAAATAAATTTTTATAACAACCTTTGGCACGATTTTCACGCGATTTGTATAATTTCAAATTAAAGACACGCGTTCTTTAAATATATAAAAACGTATCCAACCACAGAGGTATTTGTGTCGTTAATCCTATTATCAAATTACCATGTGTATACTTTAATAACCAAAGGCACGTGTCACGATATATCTAATTAACAACAATTTATATCATGCATAAAACAGTACAGTATCCACTTATCGTCAATCAACACGATAATTTAGGTCATTGTATCAATTGTGTCAATTATATTTATTTATTGGTTGTAAAATAATGATGATATGTTTGATTTAATGAAACATATTTAGAAATTAGATTAGCAAGTGTATTCTAGCAATTGAGTAAAAACAGTTTAACCCAGGATAAAACCAAAATTGGTTTATGGATTAAATTATTATTATCATTATCATTATTTTTATTATTATAATTATTATTATAATTATTATTATTATTATTATTAAACTAATTTTTTTTTTTACAGGAAAAAGGCCTGTCTGCCGAGTATGTCAGTCACCGAGGGGCACACCGCACTTCTGTGTCTGCCATTCCTTCCTGCAGAACACATTGGTCCTGTGTTCGAGTCTATGGCAGACTTAGCTCCAGACCGTTTTGATGGACTGCTAGCTTACATTAGACGGACCTGGATCGACAATGATATGTGGCCAGTCCATTCTTGGTCGGTGTTTGGATTGAGCATCCGCACAAACAACGATGTTGAAGGTAAAATCACATTTTAAAATATTATGACAATATTAGATATTTGAAATAGACTGTATACATGGTAGCAGTCATACTTCTCATACATAAAAAAATATGTCTTAGCAAAATTGTAGCGAATTTGAGAAATGCATTCATGGACACATACATCGCCGCATTAAAGAGATAAATATATCTATTATAGTTGACCTGTGCCTATCTTCAGGGACAGACTCACCAGCTGTGGGAAAAGTACAGGAATGGGGAGTTATCTTCAACAGGACTTTTGAGAGAATTCGGCAACTTATACAAGCCCCAAGAGTAGAGTCGTAAGATGTCAAAAAAAACAACAATGACATATGTGCATGGGAAAAAAAAACAATGAAAGTGTGAAAGTGAAAGTGACTATATATACATGTATGACATAATATTGACATACGATATGATATTTTATCTTTGCATATAAAACATGTTTTTATAAATTAAATGTTATTGCTATTGATCGTCTTGGTGTTGTTCTTTTCTGTAATTTAATTTAATCAGACTTATGCATATATATATATCCTTATTATAAGATGGAATTCCAAATATTCGCATACAAAAAGCGTCAAAATATGTCCAATTCAGTAATTTTATAATATATTATTTTAACAGTCTATAATGATTTGTGAACTATATGAAAAACAAGTAGTGATAAAATATAAGGGACGAGTTGGGGACGAGTTGACTAGAGGACGAGTTGTCCAGGGGACGAGTTGACCAAAAAGGTGACGAGTTGACCAGAGGACGAGTTGACTCTGAATCCTAGACCACAGATTTATATTAATCTGTGGCTAGATGCATTGTTTTGACATAAAATATGTTTAATCTTGTTGTTTATGTAATATTATATCAATATATTTAAAAAAAAATATTTTTTTTATATTGTGTCTATAACAATATAACAGAAATTGAAAAAAAAATTCTATTTAATTTTTTTTTTAATGTAAGTGATAAGTCTATGAATATCATATTACATGAATAATATATTTAAACATATTTTAGGTCAAATCAATGCAACTACCACCTTTGGTTTTCAAAACCTAACGGTGGTTTCTTAAAAAATTTGTACAATAATTTCAAAATCAAGAAACAACAAATTCAACTTTATACACTTTAAAACTAATAATTGTTTGTTCTATTTTTTTATGAGGGCTGGGACTTAAAATGTATATTTTAAGATCTAAATAATGGTCAATCCTCAGTTTAAGGTTTAGGGAGTATGTCATCCAAAAGTTGTTATATAATGACTCAAAAAGTTTGTGTTTTAAGTTTGAAAATATTATTAGTGACTTTGACAAAAGTTGGTACAGTACAGTGAAAAAGGAAAAA